TTTTTTCAACACGGCGCACCTTTTATTAATATTCTTAAAAGTCATAATTCCACAGGAAATTGGATGAGGAATTAAAAAAAAATAGTTTCATAATTGTGCCAGAACTCTATCATAGTTAAAAATTAAAATTAAAAAAAAAAAACGTCATTTTTTTCGAGGTTTTTATGAACCAATATAGCTCATAATTTTTTTTCCTAGAAGCTACCATCATCCCCCAAAACATATTAAAAATTCAAATCAATCGGCTCACGGGTTTCTGAGAAAATCATTTTTTTCTTAATTTCAGCTTTTTTCGATTTTCTCGAAAACGGTATTAGATGAAGAGCTGAAACTTGCAGTATCGAAGTATCTTATAAGTACCAACATACCCTGAAATTATAAGCCAGATATCTTTCTGGGGCCGATTCACTATACTTATCGGCCTATGGCCTTTTATAAAATTAAACAAATTAATAAAATTAATTTTATTAATATATTAAAAAAAAAAATATTATTTTTAACGAAATTATTAATTTTAGTTAATTTTAATTCATTGTAATCAATTTTAATGAATTTTAATTAATTTACAAACATGTATGGAATTCACTCACATTCCATGCTTGTAAAGGTGGACTCTAGGATCTCCGCCGTCCATCTTACGGCATAAAATAAATATTATTATTTTTAACGAAATTATTAATTTTAATTCATTGTAATCAATTTTAATGAATTTTAATTTTATTAATAAAATTAATACAAACATAAAAATTTATAATTACAAATTTTAAAATCAATATTTAAAAATAAATTTTAGGTAATTAGAAAGTACTCAGTTTACGGAGTTTAAATATATTTAAATATTCTCTTGGATATTTCGGTTTATTGTTACAAACTGTACAAAGTACAATTACTTCAGGTATAAAGTGTCCGACAATACCTTAATGACTTTTGAGGTACACCTTTAAAATTAACTAATACAAAATTTAAGGAGAAAAAAAAGAGAAGGATAGTTGGCAAACTATAGTATTTAAACTTCAAAGGTTTTAAATTTGGTTAAAGCTTAGTGTGTTAGCAGTTCTCACTGATAAAGTTTGTAAAGAATTTATTTATCATTCCATATTTGAGTAATCATGTGTTTGCTGTGTTTTTTTTTTTTTTATGTACAAAAATTGCTATTTTTTATTTATTTTCCGTCACAAATTAGTATAATTAATTAATGTTAAATTAATTATTCCATCAGTGTGTATTTTACAATAATTGATAGTTCAAGTGAGCAAAGAAAAATTACCAGAAGCATCAGAAATACATACAGCGTATAAAAATGAATATTCGTAAGTTGCAGAAGACTTTAACACGAGAAGATGGCGCATCTTCTAAATCACCCGATCAATTTCCCGAAAGACAACCATACATGACTCAGTCGAATGATTTTCTGCCGTCATTGTTTACGTCGACTAACATCACCTTCAGGCGCAATACTTACCAATACTTTCCAAAAGCAGTTTCACGGATTCAAATTGAGCCTGCCAGCAGCAGCCAAAAGGTTGATTTCAAGAAACTCCCGTTTTACAGAGTGTTAACTGAATTGGTGAGGCCGTCTGAGCTTCTACCGGACATTTCAGGGTCAGGGTGCATCAAAAATACCTTCCGGTTTTACTTGACACAGCAACAAGTAGAAGACATCAGGAATTCTCAACTCCATCGATTTGGAAGCTCTAAAGTAGATTATATGATTCAGGTTCAAATGCGGTTTTGTTTGAAAGAAGAAATATTTGAACAGGAAGATTGCATCCCTCCTGGAGTTACCGCTAAGGTTAATAATCAGAATTGTCATATTCCGTTTCACTCAAAGCTGCTTCCAGGAGATTTGAAGAAAAAGAAAGTCTTAATGAAGCCAATCGACATAACTTGTTTGGTGAAATTGACGTCTGTTGAAAGCAATGAAGTTTTAATCACATGTCCGCCGAATTTTGGGAAGAAATACATTATTGGTGTCTTCCTTGTAAGAAAATTGACCAGCTATGAATTGGCGAATGGAATGAGAAGAAACAATGTCCAGGTTTCTGAATTTACAAGAGAAAAAATCATCGAAAAGTTGAATGAAGATGCCCATTCCGAAATTGCAACTACTTCTTTGTGCGTAACATTGGCATGTCCTTTGGGGAAGATGAGGATGATCACACCCGGAAGGGCCTTTTCTTGCACACATTTGCAGTGCTTTGACGTAAGATCTTACTTGCAAATGAACGAGTTTAGGCCGACATGGATTTGTCCGGTTTGTAATAAACCTGCGCCCTTTGATTCTCTTGTTGTTGACGGGTATTTCAAAGAGGTTTTGGCTTCTGATAAGTTAGTAGAAGATGAAAATGAAGTTCAACTGCTGCCAGATGGATCTTGGAAGGTTTTGATAACCAGTGATCGAGATCAAAGTAGAAAGGGTACGTCGGGAGAAGTAAAAATTGAGAAAACTGATACTTCGGTTGGAATTTCAGAAGAAGTCGATGTTAAAAGAGAACAGGTTGTTGATTTGATTTCCAGTGATGAAGAAGAAGAGATTAATGCTTTGCCCTTTAAAAAAAGGAAGCTAGGTTTTTTTGAAAATGAAGTTATTGTTGTGGATTTAGATTGATTTATTTGGATAAATTGTGCACAATTTATATACATGTGTATATATACATGTATATATACACAGAAAAAAAATACTTCTTGCAAGAAGAAAATTTTAGGGAAGACAAAAGTTATTTTGCAGCAAGAAAAAATTTTCTTGAGTCAAGAATTTTTTTTTTTTTAGTGTACTAAAAATTACTGAAAGCTGTAATATGTAATTATCACAATTTTTAAAAAAGAATTGTATAGATTGTTGTCAATATTGTATTGCAATAATTAATATTTTTGTTAGAGAAAAAAAATAATTTATTATTTAATTGTAAGTTATTTTAAGTTTCAAAATAAGTGACGCATATGTAAATTATTTTAAGTGAATTTTTTTGCTAGAATTTATATTTTTATATAAAAATTTATAAATTTTGTTCATTTTTTAAATAAACAAACTGTGGTGATATGATGTAAATAAATAAAGTTATTAATTAAAATATCATTTATTTATTTTGTACCTCTAGTTATTATTTTATGATTTTTTTATATTAAGTTAATTATTTTAAAATATTTATCTTAAAAAACAAATTTTTTATATTAAAAAAAAAATTTTTTTTTAACATAAATTTCTACTTTAAAATTAGAAAAATTTGAATTTTAAATTTCCCGCGTAATTTCATCACATGTGTTGTGACCAATAAAATAAAAAAAAAATAATTACACCAACATAAAATGAAAATTAAGAGAAAGACTACGATCTAATAAAAAAGAATCCACATGTTATTAAATAATTTAATTGATCTAAAGAATAATTAATATCCGAAATGATTGAGTCGTGTACAAAGAAACGTATGTTACTTGCTGTTACACTATTAGGCGGGTAAATATATAATTATTTATCACAATAAATATTGTAGTATTTTATATTGTAGGTTATACTTTTATTAATTTTTTTTAATTCACAAATTAATTTATAATAATTAGTAAGTTAATTAATTTAATTTTATGTTACAGATTGACAGTTCTTGTTTTAATAGTTGAGAGCCAATGGACAGATAGTACAAGTAATAAACCTTATATTGAAAATTTGGAGCACAATGCAACGTGTACGACAAATGGAGACTACGAAATAATAACAGAATGTCATCCTTGCACAGCGTTTGAAATTGCGAGTAAAAGTATTGGTGTTTGTATTCATTCACGTTACAAGGAAATATTGAGATGTAAAACTGGTGAAACTATCACTAGAAGGTACTTTAATTTATTTTCTTTAATAAATAAATTTAATTTTTTTAATGACCTCAAAATTGACAATTCTTTGATTTTTCTTCAGTAGCAAATTAGGTCTAGAAAAAATAGCATTTATTATATTTTAAAGCTTCTAAATGTAGAATTTTTTAAATAAATTTTTATTGATACAATTTATTGATTAAAAAATTTCTAAAAAGTATTAGATGTTTCTCAATTTCAGTATAATTTTTTTAACAAATCAAGTGAAAGCAGAATCTGACAATAACTTATTTTTTTAATGAAATTATCATGAAAAAAATTTAATAAAAAAATTCCAAATGTGAAAATTAAAAACATGTTGAGAAGCATTTTTAATGTCTGTCAACTTCAGTGTCAATTGATTTGTCATAAAAATTAAAAAAATTGATAGTTGTTAGCTAACTTCAGTATCATTAAATTTGAACAACATACTTATAGGGCCAGTTTTTCAATCCGAGATAAAATTTTATCAATTTTATCCAGGATAAAATTATTATTGCCAGTATATTTATATATAGGAAGTGTCTATTCATCAGATTTTCGAATGATTATTTTTTTTTAAGTCATACGATTATCGTATGAATAACTATTATTATTTATTGGTTATCAAATTAAACTGTTATCTGTTTTTTATTATCAATAAGTCTATTAATACGACTTAAATAAGAAATTTTTTATAAATTATATTTTAATATTTTGTATTATAAATGTAATGATCGTGTTTGGCCGATATACATATGAAATATATAGATATATTTTATCATTAGATAAGATTTTATCCTGAATTAAAAAACTGACCCATAAAGTAGCAAAAATTTAATTTTTCTTTTTTTAATAAATTATATTTTATAATTTCAGTTGCGACAGAGTTGCCTGGTTGGAAGAACGTAAATTTTTCAAATTTCAAGGTGTTATGTTTGTTCTATCATTTTTGTCATGCGTAACTGTATTTTGGCGTGAAAATATCCTGAGAAAAAGGATAATCCGTAAAGTAGCCAAACAATTACGTGCTAGTGTTTAAAAATATTTGAATTAGTTATAAAATAATTTAAAAAAAAAAATGGAAATATTTTTAGAAATATTTTCTCTCGCCGACGTATGTAAGGCACCAATCGAAACAATAATAGCATTACTGACAATAAAATATAGGAATTCCTCACTGAAGATAACACTAGTACAGAGTGAGAACAAATCTAATGCTCGTGAATACACTATTGACGTATCAGAATATCAATACAGCGTGATAGATAACTGCGAAATGCCGTATGAGGCTAAATCATGTCAGCTGCCAAATTTTATCTACAACTCATCGAACATAATCGCGGGATTTTGTGCCTGTCTGAGGCAAATAATAAAACTGTCATCAATAGAAAATATTGACATGAACATTAATCCGGACTATAGAAATTTATTGGGCTTCAAGGAATCATGTCTGCTTGCTCCCGCCGAAGCGAGTACTTGGACAAGGTACTGTGAGATTGAATTGATATCAACGCTCAAGTATTTAAGCAACGAAGATATTGATAATTTAACTGAGTTGCCAGTTGATGTAGCGAGATTCGAAGTACACATGTCGCAACCAGTGCGCCTGCATAACATAAACAAGTATACAATGTCAAAAAAATTTGCTAATCAAGTAAAACACGATGATAATTTAATACTGGAGCATGTTTATGCCGAAGGTTCTTTTATGACTTTGGCAGATATTATAATATTTGTTTGTATTCATATTTTTATACATTTACTGTCTAAAGACGATGTACTGAAATTATTACCATTAACGGCTAAGTGGTACAAGCGAATGTGCAGCGAGCAATTGATGGAATGCTTGAATTTACTAGAATTAGAACCGAATATTTGTCGTAAAAATTACTCCTTGCCTGTTGTTTCCGACTACAGTCTCCATAAAAACGATGCGAAACGTTACAAGCCACGCGGTAGAGTCTACACCCGGCAGGATGACATTGAAAAATCGCTGGAGTTGGTCAAAAGTATGGAGATTGATATTAAAATCAATAGCGGTGATGCGAACGACGATGGAATTTATGGAATAAACGAAAGCATAGATATTGATTGGGAAAAAATTCCCTACGAAGCAACACCTGAAGGTGGATCGTTACCGCAGGTGCGATTGAAGAGAAAATTTCAGCAGCTTGAGAACTTATGCAAGCCGGTGATGAAATTTGCCCGACCCGGAGATGTAATTGTTGATTTTTGTTCTGGAAGTGGCCATTTAGGGATTGTTATTGCGTACTTGTTGCCAAATTGTACAGTTATTTTGCTGGAGAATAAGGAAGAGTCTTTAAATCGATCACGAGAAAGAGTTGATAAACTAAAGTTGGGTAATGTTAAATTTTATCAGTGTAACTTGGATTATTTTCAAGGAGATTTTGATATCGGAACGTCGTTACACGCCTGCGGTGTTGCTACCGATCTGGTGATCCAGCATTGCATAAGGAGTAAAGCTATTTTTGTGAGCTGTCCGTGCTGCTATGGATCGATTCAAGACTGTCATCATATTACTTATCCGCGAAGTAATCTTTTTAAGAATAATATCAATCTTAGAGACTATTTGATTGTTGGTCACGCTGCTGACCAGACTCACGATGATAAAAATGCCAAGACTCAACAAGGTTACGAGTGTATGAAGATTATTGACACTGATAGAAAGCTACAAGCTCAAGAGTTTGGTTATAATGTTTATTTGTTTAAGTTAGTACCGGATACTTGTACTCCGAAAAATCATTTATTGATTGGTATTCCGAAATGTTGATTAAAGTAAAAGACCCAGTTATTGACACTTGCAATTTTATTCTAATTAAAAGAATATAAAATTTTCTCAAAAAATCAATTATCTTAAAATTTATAATTAAAAAATTATATTATTAAATTTTTTAGAGTTGATTTTTTTTTTTTTTTTTTTTTTCAATAAAAATTTTTTCCAAATATCAATTAAGGTAAAAGATCCAGTTATTGACACTGAACTAGTTATTGACACTTGCAATTTTATTTTAATTAAATAAAACAAACCGACTCTAATAAATTAATTTAATTAAAATAAAATTGCAAGTGTCAATAACTGGGTCTTTTACCTTATAATTATAATTATTGTAAGCATTTTTTTTAAGTAAGGTAAAAGACCCAGTTATTGACACTAGCAATTTAAAATTATATTTATTAATTTATTAGAGTCGGTTTGTTTTATTTAATTAAAATAAAATTGCAAGTGTCAATAACTAGTTCAGTGTCAATAACTGGATCTTTTACCTTAATTGATATTTGGAAAAAATTTTTATTGTATATAACTTTTTTTGATAACTCATCTTTTCGCGAGTGAAGTATTCCGATAATTGGATAGTATATTTATGTCATAAGAAATAAATTATAAAAATAAATCAAATAAAAGTAAAATTATTTTGTTGTATTTTTTTTTGAAATTTGTCTCAAAGCTTCCTCATATTTTTAATATTTAAATTTATAATAAAATCGATGAGATTTAATAAAAAAAAAACCTAGCTGATACTAAACAATCAATTTAACTAATGGTCTAAAAGTTAGAAGGTGAATTTTTAAAAATGTATTAGACTTATGTATATTTATTAAAATTTATGTTAGGACCTTGGCAACTACTCTCATGATATTGAAAATTTGTCCTTGATTAATCGACGTTAAAAAATTAAAATTTTAAAAGATTGAAAGTTCTTCCGCAGCGATGTAGATAACTTTAATGATTTTAGGAAAATTTATTACTTTGTTTTTATTAAATTTTTCTATAAATTCGAAGAGGGGAATTTTATATAAACAAGCAAAGGTTAAAATTTACCCTCAGTCTCCTTAGAGCTTGATCTAATCAATTTTACTTTTTTATTTTTATTAAAAACTCCAAGAATGATTCGACAACTTTGCCTTGTGCTTTTGTGCTGCGTGATTATTAACGTCAGTTTTTACAATTATTTAATAATTTCATATCAATTAATTTATTTATTAAAATTTTTTAATTTCTCCAGGCAAGTCCTTTGGGAATCACTGAAAATAATAAAAAGGAATCAAGTAATTCGGAAATTGAATTAACAACATTTTCTGAAGAACTACCGAAAGAAGAGAATACCAATGAATGGAATTGAAATTCATCGTCTTTGTAAAAGAGTATGTATATTTATAATTATTTTTTTTTGATAAATATAATTAATTAAAATTTTCTTAATTTTTTAAGAATGATCTAAATTGTAAAAGACTACCTAAAGCAGTAGTATCGTCATTATTGTGATAAGGTTGAGGCAAACTAAAGGTCCAGTTGGTGCAATCGAAGAAGAAATAATATGTAAATATTTATACTTCGATTATTATTATTATTATTATTATTATAATAAGTTGTCTATTTACAAAATTATACTTCAATCAATACATAACCCCGTGGTACATTGTATGAATTTAATAATTTTTAAATTAATGTGAGCTTGTCAGATTAAAGCGAAATGTTAAAATTTTATTTTTAATTATTTCAACGTTGAATCCAAATCTGAAATGTATAGTTTTATTTAATCTTAACCATCAATTGGTTATGCGATATTATTAATTCACGTTGAATATATATTATTCCTTGCAGTTACTAAATTTAATTATTGATTACAGAAAATATTTTTATTTGTTGAATAAAACAAGAGAAAAATTTTTTGTTCAATAAAAATTGATTATTTAAAGTATGCAATACACCAGTGTTTGTCAATAAAATAAAAATAATAAAATACATTACATACGTATAACAGTAAATGAGTAGAGAGGACATAAGAAAATTTTTATATTAAAATAAAAAACGTAATAATTTCCAATTTTTATAATAATGTCTAATATTTATTGTTAAAAATCATTATTATTGTTAATTTTTTTTTTAAATATAACTACAAAAAAAAAAAAATAAAAATAATTTTAGGTAAATTTATGAAACATGAAATTAAAATTTCACTGGTGATTTATACAAAAAATTCAAAATTTGAATTATTTTATTTGACTAATAATTTGAATTAAATAATTAAATATTAATAACAGATACATTATAGCAAGCAGAACGCTTCTATTTATTATTATTAATTATTAATATATGTTTATATATTTATAATTATTAAATAATGTATCAAGTGATGTTTCAAGTTAAATAATTATTCTAAAAATCGATTTCTATCTTTGATAATAATAATAATCGCATCGAATGAATTGCCTACCAAACTAAACCCATCAAGAAGGAAAAAAAAATTATAATTATTTTTTTCTCGACTATATTAATTATTATCGGTGTTACTTATCAATAATCATTAAAATACGAATTAATTTTTCTAGCAAAATGACAAAATATTCGTTAGATTCGCAAGTATTTTACACACACGAGATCATTTAATTTAATCATTTTTTTTTTTTTTTTCATCATAAATATAATTAGGCTCTAAATCAAATAGTTGATATAAGAATTTGACGTTTGAATTGAGCCGATTTTCATGTAATTGATTGAGTAATCACAAGTGTTGTAGCGACGAGCATAAATCACATTTTATTTAATTATTAAGAAGCCCGTGTGTTCAATTAATCAATCTATACACGAATCCAATAATAATAATGGCTTATAAACCGTTTATAGAATTATTATTATTATTATTGTTATTATCGTTATTTATATTGTAAGTATAATTATCGTTAAAATAACTTATAAAATAGATCACGATTCACCATTGCCACTATCATCATCGTCTCCGTATTCACCAGCGCTGTGCTCCTCGTCGTCATCATCATCCAACTCATACTCATCATCATAAAAGTCTGTCATATCTAAGGGCTGCTCTGCTGGCCTTGCGCGGGTTTTTATGCAATAATCTTCAAGTGTGAGCGGAACTACAATACCTTCTTTTTCGGCTTCCACTTTAGCTGCCTGCGCTTGTTTCCTGTAATTTTTATTTTAAATATTAATAAATACATAAATATATCTTGTTGTTGTTTTTTTTTTTTTTTTTTTTATGAAGATAAATCTTAGTTTGCTTAAATTTAAATATCGTAATTACCTGATAATATTTTCATATTCTTTGTCTCGACCCTTGGAATCACGCCAACGTCTGTACATTACCGAAGCATCAACATTTGCTGGACTGTATGTGTTTGGTTCATTCAAAAGTGATATCACTGACAACAGTATTGTTCTGAAAAATATTTTAAATAATTAGTATTTATAAAAAAAATTTTTTTTTAAATATAATGACTGAAAAAAATTTTTTTTTAATTAAAATTAAAAAAAAAAATTTTATTTATTTTGCCTAAAAATAATATATTTTATTAATATTTGTTTAAAACATTGACCTCTTTTATAAATATATTTACTGTTATAAATTTAAATTATCTCTACATATAAAAAAGGAAACTTTTTTTTTTTTTTTTCCACAAGTGATAGCAAAAAAAAAGAACGCAATTTCTTTTAACAAAAATAACAATGACAATAATAACAATAATTTACTAATAATTACCTGACATTCTGAGTTGGATTCCACCTTTCACATGGTAATTCTCCACTTTGTGGATCATCGACTGGTGGATGTAAAATAGAAATACACAAGTCTCCATTCTGCAAAAAAAAAAAAAATATTAAAATTGAATAATAATATTTAATACTACTATTATCATAAAGTACTTTGTAGTTAGAAAAAAAAAAAAAAAATATTTGTCTGATAAAAGATAATTTTTAAAGACAAAATTCAATTTTAAAACGCAATAAAGATAAATTAATGATCAAAGAGTTTGTATTAGATATAATTTAATTCGATAATGCAAAACTCTATAGTATACAGTGTATACACTCTAGTGGTTGCTGCATCCTCGACTGTTGCAAGCTAAGTAGGCCAAGGTGTACCCAAGCTCTCATTCACGATTTAATCTCACTCGAAATAAATCTTATATTACATTACATTTGTTATACCAATCTAATGAAACTAGATATCAAATAAAAAAAAAAAAGTAATTACTTGCAAAATGTTTTACAAAAGTTTGAAAATTATTTACTTTATTTTTTAAAGTGATCTCGTCACGCGTTTGACGTAGTCGTTGGACCTTTGTTCTCAGGGACAAATAAAAAAAAAGTATCCGTATGTATATGTATATAAATTGAGAGAGATTGAGGTAGAATATATACGGGATGGCAAATTGCCATCTTTTTTTTCTTCTACATCAGTCTTCGTCTCATTTCTAAAAAGCCTTCAACTTGGCACGCAATCTACGCGCATTCTCTTTCGATTTCTCTCTTATACATTAATGCTGACTAGACAAACTCTCGCCAGCTTAATTATCTTTATTCAATAATAATTATGATAATAAAAAATTATTTTTATTTTCAATTGTTCACTTAATTGTAAGAAAAAAATAAATTTTTAAAATTATCTGTTTGTTCAATCTTAATATTCAATTTTTAATAAAGTACTTTACCAAAAATAGAAATATTTTTATTGATTTGTTTATCAAATATTAAATGCGGGAATTAATAAATTACAACACGGAAAAATTAATTCAAGTTTAAAAATAACTGCAGACAAGAAAAAAATTTCCAATATTGATGTAGTTGTTTACCATCGTTTTTTTTTTCATTTTTTTTCCATAAATTTGTATCAATGGTTTTATAAACAGCTAAGAAAAAAATTGAATATTAATTAAAATATAAAAAATTTAGTTATAATTTTTCCAAGATATAAATTTTAAAAAATAGACTCAATTATTGTCAATCAGCAGATAAAATTAAATAAGTTAATTTTAAGATAAGAAACAATGATTTGAAAATAATTGTCCTAATAAATAAACTGAATCTTAAATTTCATCAACTGTTCTCTTATAATTCTATGAAATGTTTCACGGTAGAAATATTAGCAATAGAAATGACAAATTCTTTTGTGTTTAGTATCACTAGTATGACTAAGTAGTTTATTATGAGTAATTTTTTTTACTTATGATGAGTGGAATCATTTTTTAAAATTATAGTCCCAGACTTGATACGCTTTAATCTTTTTTTAATGACTAAAAAATGAAATCAATGTAAGTTAATTAATACATTAGGTACTTAATTTTCTACAATTAAAAAAAATTTATAGTTTATATTATATTAATTATTAAGAAAGTTTTTTATAATAAAACAATTCTAATAATTCTATGTGTTTGTTTCAGACATAAATCAATGTAAAAGTACGAAAGCAGTGTACATTTATCTAAGTATAGTTCCAGCACAAAAGATGTGTTACGGATTGGAGTGTGTAAAGGCACGACTGGAAAGCGAATAATGTAAAATTAAAAAGTAAAAAGGGGATGAAAAAATAAAACTCTATAGTACTAACAAGGTATAATCGATAATTCTCGTGTTCACTCACCTCATATACGTTTGGATGCCAGACTTTTGTCATAAAGCGAATACTCGGTGGGCTGTACGGATAATCTGGCGGGAATTTCATATGTGCCTGAAATAAAAAATTCAATTGTTAGTTCAATGTTAAATCACTGAAAATTAAATTTCTTAATTATTAATGAAAATAACTTAAAGACCTTACAATTAATCCAAAATAGGGCAATGCGCATAATTCTGAATGTTAATAAATGAGGAGCTGATTTTCAATAGGATATCTTTTTGTATTTTAAAAGAGCAGTTTTTTGAACTTTTAAATATTAATTACTTTGAGAATTATAAAGATTTCTAAATGAAAATCGAATTGTAGCTTTATAACCGATAGCACTCTATAGCTAAATTAAAGAAGTTCAACAAAAATATTTATAATTGAAAATAACCAGTTTTTTATTTCAATTAATCAAAAATGAAAAAATACCATTTTGAAACTCAACTCCTTAAATATACTCGTATTGATTCAATGCTGGATACATTTAACTGGATGTAGATAAGACATTAACTTAAATATAACACATGTCTATTTATTCATAAAGTTAAATGTCGTGTTTACCCCAACTATTTATACGAAAAGAATTTGACTTCAGTGAATCTTATTATCAGACGCGAGCAGGAAAGTTCAAAATTAAAAGAACGAGAACAATAACTGCTGAAAAAACTATCACGTACTAAGGGTTAGTGGTATAATGAATTACCACATGAAAAAAGAGCAGAAAATAGACTAAATATATTGAAAGTTCATTTAAAAAATGATATAAAAGACAATGTAGACTATCTTGTTAAAGTGAATGAGAAAAAATTGTAAAAATAGCTTCACAGAAAAAAAAAAATTAGCCTGAATTAAGTAAATAATTTTGAAGAACTTAATTTTCTAGATTTGAGTAGAAAAATTCTTAAACTAAAAAATTTTTCTTGGTATAAGTAAATCTTACTTGATTCGAGAATTTTTCGTCTTGATTCAAATAAATTTTTTTTTTCTGTGTATAAGATAAGTAAATAAATAAACAATTATTCAGTAATTAATACTAACATTATAAAAATTTTAAATATAAATTTACAAGCTTGATAAAAAACTTGTAGCTTAAAAATAATGAATTCAGTAAAAAAAAAAATTAAAACTTTGATTGGAATTATCGATAAATTAAAATCAATGTAAAATCTGGATATATTTGTATATTTTTATTTTTTATGAGTTAATACCACGCGGTATCGTCAACCGGAACAGCATTGCCATATTGATCGGTGACCTGCTCATGGCCCAAATATCCCGGCCATCCTTTGGGACATTCTCTAGACTCTCAAGTCTTGAGTCTAGAATTAACCTACTTTTTATTTGCTCCAGTACTTGGATGTAATACTAAAACGTCTAAAGTTTAACAACTACAAATGCACTATTTTTTAAATGTCAATTGACACTTTTAAAAATATTAATATATATAGAGCGGAAACTATACCAACAATTATACATTATTATTTATTATTAAATTAATATCCAAGTGAGTTTAACAAAACAACAACAATAAATTCAAATGAAAACAAATGATGTCAACGATTACGTATTAACGCAAGACTGTTTTAATAATTAATAACATGACGACACGCTTAACTTATACCAATGCATTATATTATCGACTAATTTTTGTTCCCACTTCAGCTAAGTATAAATCATTGATTATCATTTAAAAAAATTAATAATAAATATTTTTTTTTTTACAATAATTAATTAAGTTAATTGTTTCTAACAAAATTACAAGTATTATGTATTAAACTTTCCTCTCTCCTAGTTGACTAACGATTAAGCACATCTGGTGCTCGGTGAAAGGACAAGTAGAATTAAACGAGGAAAGTTATTTTCTTTAATATTATATTATATAAAGTGTATATTAAATATAATATAATTTTATGACGAGTAATGAGTAATGAGTAACGACAAATGTATAAATTAATGAAAAAATAAATATGTAATATAAACTTGAAAAAAAAAATAATAATAATAAATAAAATTTGTACCCAATCCTCGAAATGCACTGAAATATTATATAAATATTTTTAAACTCACCCATCCAGAAAGTGGTTTAGAAAGTGTTGCATGAAATTATTTTGTTTATTTTTCTTACTCATCAACTGACTCGTTTAATTAAATTTCATTGTTCATAATTGAGCGTGTTTATGCTTAATTTAATTAATATATATATATATATATATATTATATTATTTTTTGGAAGAATAATAAATGAAGAATTTTATAAAAATTAATAGACTGCGCATGCCGTAGATAAAAATAGCGGGAACTCAACTTGCTTGTCTAAGGTTTAGCATTGATCATTTTATTACACGTTGACTCATTTAATTTATTGATTACTTTTTTTGTTAATACTGTTAAAAGCTGATTTTTGTAGTGTTGTGCGCTTGAGTCTAGTGAAACTGTTGCTTAAATTGGTAATCACGGAAATGAATTTCGAATTTCCTTTTTGTGATTTCTCTGCAATACCCGGAACATTGTTAGCAATTAATTAGCTATTTTTGCGCTGGAGGTAATTACTGAAAAGCAATTGGTCCTTAATTTTAACTGGAAAATTTACAACTTAATAGTGTTGTGTTGATTGATTATGTGAAAAGCAATACCGACAATTTGTTGATGGTTGATTAATGAAAATGAAAAATTAATAAATATTCTAGAAATTAGTAGTTACATATTACATTATTAGAAACAAAAAAAATAATTTTCCGTGCTACGAAATAAAAAATTTTTCCATAAAACTACATTGTGCAATTTAAGTGCATTAAAACATTATCATATTATGCTGATAATAAATTGGAGCAGTCTTGATATTTTGAAATCTAATAAAAATTGTAATTTTTTAAATAATTATCTTGTCCAAGTTATCAGTTGCATCAAACAAAATAATTTGTTTCATGGTACAGAAAGTACTAGATGTTTAAAAATTAAATTATTTCTGGACAAATCAATCAAAATCACCGAATAAAAATTTTTTAAAGATATTTTAACATTGATTTCAAATTATTGCCAACTTTAATCACGTTTTAGTTGTTAATAAAATTCTGTTGAAATAAATAATTGGTCAAGGTTAGTCGTGACAGAAAAACTTGTAATTTTTTCACGTAATTCATGATTTAACTTCAATATTTACGTTTAAAAAAAAACAATTCAAATGATAGGTTAAAAAATAAAAAAAAAATATTTAGTAAAAATAATACTAAAGTTAGCCGACATTTTTAATTTTTAATTTTTTTTTTCTCTTATTAAATTAGAGCTAAAAAATATTTTTAAAAAATTGCACTGATAGTTTTTAAAGTTTATTACAAATGAAAATTTATTTTTTTGTAATAATTTTTTCAATAAAAAAAAAATTCTAAAAATTTTTAAATGTCGGCTAACTTAATTTTTATTTAGTAAAAATGGATAAATCTATGTGATATATATGAATAAATATATAAAACTAACCTTGAAGTATCCACCTTGATAGAGAGTATCAGGAGGCCCAAATATTGCGACTTCCCACTCGAACATGTTGTCCTCGTTAACGAGTTTAACACGAAAACCCTCAACTGGCTCTTCTTGAAGACTTTTGTACTCCATAGCAAGTGCTCGCAAAGCGCTGCTCGTTGGTTGTGCCATTATTAATCAACGTCTTCTAAGGGTTTATTTAATACTTAAATGTAATGTAGAGCAGTACACGTCAAGATATCAGCAAAGGCTCAAATATTTATTTTAATTCCAGTTAATATAATAGTATTTACTTATATATACGTCCATAAAATTAATAAAATCAACAGAAATAAAAACTAAAATAAATAAAAAACAAAAGCACTAAAAAAAATAAATATCACTTGGCTGAGCAACGTCGTGTATGGTTGACGCTACAGTCCAACGGATGCTAGCTGGTAGGAATTATATGTAATATGTATGTAATATTAATTCTCTGTATCGTCAACGTTCACGAGTGCGAGTGTAAGTACATAAAAAACACGTACTGCTCGATGCTTTTGCGCAATGACGGAAATTGACGCTCATCAACTCGCTGCTTTTATTTTCTACTCTACACTGAACAATATTCGCAATTATCGTTTTTAACAGTTACCAAGATGATTAATAATTATTTACCACTATTGAACAAAGGAATACATGAGCTGAGTTGGGCTTATGATTATGATTATAAGACCCACGCGAAACGACGCTACGATCAACAATGCACACGATACACCAACACTTCGACGAGGGTCCGTGTAGTGTGAACGCAGCACTGCTTCAAGGAACAGCTGACGCACAAAACCTGTCTTTTTTTTTTTGCGCAAGCTTCTTTCTATGCGCAGACGAGTTTTATTTTTAAAGTTACTGCGCACTAGCGGGAATTATTTAAGTGTCGAATTAGTGATACTGTAAAAATTATCAATTTTTAAAATAAATCGCGTGACAAATGCCAAAAGGGGTAGAAAAAAAATTTTTTTCAGCTTAAAACGTCAAGATCTGTAAAGAAAAAATTTTCAAGATACTAATGCCAAAAGAAGTACCTCAAAAGCATACGCCTTTTTGATGACATTAAAGTTAGCAGTCACTTAACAATTTTTTAATTTTATTTATCAACAAAATTTGTTCCAAAAAATTATTTAAAAAATATTGCATTTTTGCATGACTCATGATGCGAAGCATCAGAGAGTGATTTACGATCAAATTTATTTTTTTAAATTTCTAAATGTAATTTTTTTTTTTTTTGTCATAAAATTATTAAATATATGCTAAATTAATTTTCATGCCTTTTTGGCTTTAGGAAAATTTTTCTTAAAGTCAAAAGGACGTATAAAGAAAATTATGTCTTAATTAGAAAACATGAAAATAATAAACAATGAAACAATGTAGAATAAAGACTGTTAATAAATTATTTGGGAATTTTTAGACATTTTTTGCTGTTACAATTATTTGAAATAATTTTTATAGTTGTGTAATGAATTAATTAAATTGAAAAATAAACCTATAATTTACAACATAAAATAGAAAAAAAAATGTTTTAATCAAAAAATTTCTACCTTTTTAAAATCAATTTAATTTCAAATAAAATATTTGTAATTTTAATTGTTATTATCGTTTTCACAATATTTCAAAATAATTTAAGTAGAATTTTGTTACCAAAAGATCTGACAATAAAATTAAACTCATTCTTTCCTTTTTATTATATGACAAAATAAATAACATATTTTTTATCTGAATATAAATGTCCTAATTTAATGAACCTATGAAAGATTATCATGAATATATTTATCAAAAACTCTCAAAGTTTCCTCCATGTCCTTAAAACCAGAAAGTTTACAAGCTTCATCAAGAATCAACCACTTGTAATCTTGATGTTCGTTAGACATTTTAACATCACGGTTCTCTTTGATGAGCTCTGCAAGCCAATAGATGACAGTCTTCGGTTTTCCCTTGACGTTGTAATTCATTTCTTGCTTAGCATCTGAAAATATATTTAGGTCTTCTTTCTTGAAACCAGCTTCTTCCTCAGTCTCTCGCAATGCAGTTTGCATATCATTTTCACCCGGATCAACATGCCCTAAAAAAATTCAACCATCAAAATTTGTAACAATTTACCTTCAAAAATTTATTTAAAATAATTTAATCAGCGTAAACACGAAAATGAGTGATTACTAATTACTGAACAGCTGATTACCTTTTGGAGGAGTCCAATGATGTTCACCATATGACGTCTGCATTAATAAATATTCAATAGGTCCTCTAAATCGACGGAATATAACCAATCCACACGCTCGTTTACCCATCTGAACTTTTAATAATTTCTTTAAACGAAATTTTGTGATTAGCTGAAGAGTAATTGGAAAAATTAATAATACTGAAAATAAAATACATCTGTCAATTTTTTAGATTTTTATAAGAACTAAATTATTATGAACAAATGTTAATAAAAAAATTCCACATCTAGAAATTAAAAAAAATTGCAAGTGCAAAATTTTATATAATATTTTTTATTATAATTAATTTTTAATAAAAATCAATAAAATTGTCAGGTGTCAGCTGATTTCAGTTTTATTAAAATTAAACATAATAAATAAATGTAAATTGTATTTACCTAATTTTTAATTTAATATTTTTTATCGGATTAATTATTCAATCGTCCACGTTAATTAATTACCAACTGACGCTAAGCATCTGAAATTTTATTATTAAATAATTGCAATAATTGAATGATTATAGAGACAATAAATTTATTTTAACCTAAATATAATTAAATTTTTGGATGAATATTCATTACCAGTTACAATTTTTTAAATAATATTTTTTGTACAATTGTAAAAAAATTTCAGTTCATAAATGTAAAATAAATAAAAAAAAAAAAAGAAAGCAAGTAAAAAGTAATCGCAGACCATTAATACCGTCGACGAATGAATAATAAATAATTATTTACCTTATCAATAAATATTTATAATTTATTAAGTTATTAATCATGCTGAGGTTAGCTGATAATTGTCAATTTTTTTTTAATTTTTACAAGCGGAATTATTTTTTATCAAATTTTTTTCATAATAATTTCATTGCTATTAAGTTGTAAAAAAATTAATAATGTCAGTTAACGACAGTGTCTTAATTATTAAAAGTCTAGACTGAGTCAAAAATATTTAAATACTTAACTGCGAGTTTCAGTCCGCAAGTAAACAATTACGAGAGTAACTCTTCTTAAAGTTACTATAACTTCCGCTAAGTTACAGTTATACACAGTCTATCTAGAACTAAAGATTTCTGTATATGCTACTACACGCAAATACGCTCACTTCACTGCCGACTTTTAGCAAAGTATCGTCTACAAAATAGCGCTCGTGTCGTAATCCTTTTATTGTTGCTCTAAACAATTTATTTTGTACTTTCAAACTGCAGATTGTTGTGATGTATTTATTATTAAAAATAAATACATGTCAATAAATGTTTTATTTAACATTCGCTTTATTACGAAACTTAAAAAAATAACACGTTTATTTTTCTTTCGTATTCAATGACTAATTTCAGTGGAGATGAATAAAATTTTGCGTGAACTTACTTTTAATTAGTGTCAAGTGTTATTTTTAAAGCAGGTACTTCTTTTTGGTAACAGGCAAATAAATCGGATGTGTCGCACAAGTAATTTTGTTTATTTTACTCTAGATTTATTTTATTAGAAATAATTTTAAAAAAGTTTTCTTAAATAAGTGAGTGATTTAAAATATGAACGGTAATTTATTAATAAAATTATAAATAGTTATGGAAATCGTGTCAAAGATAGTGCGGAACTGAAATTTTTATTTGAAAAATAATTCATCATTAAGTTTAAGAGATTAATAAATAATCCGCGATAATTATGAACTGACGAAATGTCACCTGTCAAATATTGAAGAGAAAAGCTAGACTTAAAAAGACATTTGACGTATAAAACTGATGTAGAGTAAGGAAATGTCACGGGTTGTCATTTCAATCGGTTTCTGCAGTGTGTTTGAATAATTCAACTTATAAATGATTTATTGAGGTGAGTCGATTTTATCAATAAATTATTGATTTTTACTAATCAAATTATCAAATTATGATACTGAAATTATCTTGCCCTTCGTTATTTTAGAATTATATTTAACAAATAAACAGTTTTTTAGATTTTTACAACAATTAAATTGTTATGAAAAAAATTTGATAAAAAAATTTCACACTCAGGAAAAAATAATTTTGCCTAATTATATATGATCATACATAATCACTTATATATTATACCTGAAAATTGCCCCGGTCTAATTACATATAATCATATTATGTACACAGAAAAAAAAACTTCTTGCACCAAGAAAATTCTAAGGAAGACAAAAAGTATTTTGGAGCAAGAAGAAATTTTTTTTCTCTAAGAAACTTTGACTTCTTCCAAGAAATTTTCAATCTTCCTTAATATTTTCTTGAGCCAAGAAAATTTATCCTCCAGTCAAGATTTTTTTTTTCAGTGTATGATTATATATAATTAGACCTCGCCTATGATTAGGTCTCATTAAATAAGTTATTATATATAATTTATAATAAATGTATTATTTAGAGATGTGAACAAAATGTATTATTAATTTAGTATTGATTTACAAATAAAAATAATTACAATTTAAAATAGAGTATAATTTAGCTCTTCATCTGTAATAAATAATCGTATATAGACTTAGATAACTCATGTAAAAATTAAAAAAATTGTCGGATATTTGTTGATCTCAGTATCATAAAATTGCAATTATTTTTCGTTACAATTTTTACATATAAAATATTTACTGTCATAATTTATTTTTTTTTTAAATTCTGAAAATTATCAAATATCTCTTAATGTCAGTGTCATATTAATTACCATTAGTTTTTTTATCTCTAAGGTTAAATTATTAATTATAACATAATTGAAGGATTAAAAATTTGAGGCCAAGACAAAATTGCAACAAATCATTAAAGTTCTCTAATAAGTGACTGAATTGAAATAGAATTCACAGAATTCAACAACAGTCTAATGAAGTATACTAAAATACCGATAAATAACACGGTATATTGTCAAATAAGGGCGTTATATGTGATAAATAACGGTAGTTATGTACTTAATTCCCAGTACATTAAGAAGTACTTGAGAATAA